GCATCACATCCAACTATCGACTTGGAAATATGCAACAGCTGTCAGATCGATTAACGTCATAATAAGGCACTTCGGATCAGAGATAAATCGTCCCAATTCACCTCCGATGAATGCACTCCCTAGCTTTAAAAGCTTTCACGCCACTGATGTGGAGTCCCCTTTGGGTCACCACTTCGATCGCACAACTCCTCAGCTTTGAAAGGCGTTAGCCATTTCCCAACGCGTCGTCCCCTGTGGGTCAGCGCACTGATGGTAGATGAGCTCTTCACCTAACTTTACAAAGCTTCGACGCCACTGACGCGGAGTCCCCTGTGGGTCACCGCCTCGGTCGCATGACTCCTCAGCTTTGAAAGGCGTTGGCCATCTTCCAACGCGTCGTCCTCTATGGGTCAGTGTATCGGTGGCAGACGAGCTCTTCACCTTGCTTTACAAGCCTCGACGCCACTGACATGGATTCCCCTGTCGGTCACCGTCTCGGTTGCACGTTTCCTCAGCTTCACAAGGCTTTAGCCATCTCCCAACACGTTGTCCCTTGCGGGTCAGCGCACGGTTGGAAGATGAGCTCTTCACCCAACTTTATAAGCTTCGGTGCCACTGACGCGATGGGTTACCACCTCGGTCGCACATTCCCTCAAGCATTACGAAGTGCTTTCCCCCAACACATCGTCCCATTTGGGTTGGAACATCGGTGGCGAATGTACTATTCTCCCAGTTGAATCGCCTCTACGACTTAGCGGGACACTGAAAGCTCATCACTAAACAACGAATGATCGACCCAGAGGAGGCCCCACCTCGCCTCAACCAACAGGTGTTCGGCATATCTGCTCACTTCACCCTTTTACGCCAGCACCTCATCAGAATCCACAATACTTACTCCAAGGCCAGCATACACAGTCGGGAAAACAAGTCCACCTATGATATGAATATTCATGCCTAAACTTGGGGGGACTACTGTTAAGTCCCTAAGCAAGCCACTTCCACTTCGGCACTAAAACCACTTCGACACAAAGTCACATCGCTCTCCGAAGCTCCACGCGTCCACCCAAAGTGGTTCCGGAGCGATGCCAATTCCTGATGACTTCAACATGACGCACTGCAAGGTGGATAGATCCAATGAAGCAACCGAAGTGTCCCTCAACGGCGAAGCGTTGAAGGGCCTAAGGCACTCCTTTGACAGATCCCTTCGCCGCCACTGTCAGAAAGATATCTGTCAGGATCTTAACATGACGGCTCCATAGTTTTAGTTGACATGATACATCGACTTTATGTCAACTCAACTCAGAAGAACTAATTGTTTGCCCACGCTAGACGCGACTGATTGACGCCTATGAGCAGACGCCTCACACCGTCAGATGCATACACGTGTCCCACACCTAACAATGCTCTACACCTATAAATATCCAAAATTTGACAAGAGACAAAGGTAATGAAAGCTCTTATAACTTAGCTCTCCATACTAAGAAACATATTTTCTCCTCCCCACTCTCTTGCACCATTAGAGCACTGTTCCGACCACCTAACGTTGACTTGATCGTCGAAGTATATACGACCACCACCACCACCACTGGTCCTGGTCATGTGCTTCTGATCGTGTGTTGTTGTGCGTAGGGAGAATTATATGGAGTAGCTATCTATTGGCCACGTCGAGGGTCCAAGTATTGGGGTCAACATTTACCACCAAATCCCTCCTTGCACTGCAACAACGAGCCCCGGACTGCTTAGCATACGCAACTGCGATGAGTGCTACATTGCTCAACACGTAGCTACGACAACATCGCCACTTCAGGATCTCACTTCTGCATAGTGGCGCTCTTCGTAGTTGTACACAATGGTGCTCTCCACTGTGGTGTAGTGCCAATGTGGAAAGGAAGAGAGATATGGAAATGGGGGTAGAGATGATGGGGATGCTGGTAGAGGGATGAGATATGGAATTGGGGGTAGAGATGGAGAGAATCTGTCGAATTTGGAGGTATTGGGTATGGTGGAATGGAGATTTAGAGAGTAATATTTTGACGAATTGGAGTGGTTATTGAGTTAATTATTTAATGGGCTACGTATTTTAATTTTTTTTTTAAGAAAAAGGTAATTATCACCTGAATGTTGAAAAAGAAATTAAAACGTAAACTTTGAAATTGAAATTTAAAAAGAAGGGTTAGAGGTAATTTTCCCTTTCATTATTGGGCAACTTACAAAAATACACTTAAAATTTGAAGTGTTTTGAAAAATCATATGAAAAGTTTTTTTGAAGTAAAAAATATTGTCTAAAATAAAAAAAAGTGACACAATGTCACTTTTTTATGAAACATTGTCACTTTTTTTTTTAAATGATGCAAACTCCAACAAAGTGACAAAAAAAAAGTGACGCAAACACTCAAAAAGAGATACAAACTAAAAAAAAAAAGTGACAATGATAAAAAAAATAAAAAAATCCATTTGTAGAGCACTACTAAACATGTTCTTAACATAATCCACACATCTAGGACAATCCAACATATTGATTATATTAGGAAAATATAACATATTACTTTTTTATCTTCTTAAAAAAGTGACAAATATTAAAAAAAGTGACAAAAACTTAAAAGGTGACAAAAAAACTCAAAAAAGTGACGAAATCTATAAAAGTGACACAGATTCTTGCAAAACTACCACTGAGTAGTCCACAACTATTTAGATATATCATATTAAAAAAGATTTCCCAACATTTATATACTGGAACCACCAAAATATATGAGCCTTAATCACAAAAAATGGAGTTCCCACACAAGGATGAAAACAACCAGTAAACCTGTCCCAAAACCAAGAATAATCTCCAGATATCACTTCAAAATGTGTACCCTAAATCACCAAGAAATAAGGGATTCTCGCAGGAATGAAGAGAGAGAGAAGTCGGTCTGCTTTCCAAAAGTATCTCAAAAATAACGTCCAGCCAAAGACTCAAACGAGATTTATAGATGGAAGAATCTAGCATCAGATTGGACGAATCCATCCTTTGTTAGTGTTTTGCATTTCCGAGCAAGTTAAGCTAGAAGGTTCGATAAGTTGAGCGCAAAGCCCAGCTTTAGCTAGTCGGAGGTTTGAGACGTTGGCGAAGTCTTTGGTTGAGGAGAGGAAGACGCTACTGCAGAGCGCCACCATTATTGCCACCTGAACAGCGAAGGGCTCCACAATCTGCAACAGGGGTTTGTTTCTCTAGGTTCTTTGATTCAGGGGTTTCAGATCTTGGGGTTTTACTTGTGGATTTTGAACGTATTAATTACGATAATAATAGTTTCAAATTAATTTTAAGACATTAATCAAATGTTTAATCTTTTTACCATATTGCACCTAATTTTCCCTTCATTATTTACAAGAAACTGTGACGGCCTCGTAAAATAAATCCAGCCCAAAGCTTTGAGTCCAAAAGCCTAAGAAAAGCATCCATTTTGTTTGTACCTAGTGTTAGAGAAAGAAACAATGAGGCATATTGTTTTATTGAATTTATCTCACCAATTTCCCGGGACTGTCACCGGAGGATCCCAAGAAGGAAGATATCGTCGCCACCGAAGAAGTCCAGGAAGAAAAGAGGTGGTTAATCCATTTAAAAATCTCAATATGACTTCTTCTTCTTTTTTCTTTTTTTTACTGTTTTTTACTCTGTTTATTTATTTATTATTATTATTATTAATTTTTTTTTGGAGTAATCAGGTGTGGTTTTTCCATTTTATTTCAAATTATCAATACCCTGTATTTTTTATGTAAACCACTGGTTTGTGTTAATGGTTTTTGCTTTCTTTGGATTTATACTTTCTTACGGCTGGAAAATTAGCGTGGTTCTTTCAATGAATTGCTCTTGTACTAGGCAGGTGTGGCTGGGTGGTTATTAGCTAGTTAGGTAGTAGAGTATAGATTGAGGATACATTGGTGTTTCACAAATTCTCAATTCATTTTAGTTTCTCTACAAGTTCTTGTTTTGAAATTTCTATCGTGTATTTTAATTTGAATAGTTTGATAATTAATCTGCATTTCAAAATGTGAAAATGTTAAATATTATGTTAACCTAATCTTTTGATTGTGAGAGAGATTTTGTTTTGGATTGTACAAAGTTTTTGTTTGAATATATATGTTATTTATTTATATATTCAAGTTTGTTAGGCTTATAAATTAAAATCATGTTTAAGGGCCTCGTAATAGTTAGTTGCTTGTCTATATATTAATTGAAAATGAGTCACTGGGTCGCTGTAAATAAAGAGTAAAATGCTTAAAAAATATTTATTGGAACTTTTCATTTTTATTTATTTTTATTTTTTTTTGCTTTAAAAGGGTAATGTAAACAAAGGTCTATTTTTTCATTCCTTGAAAGAGGAAGAAAATGGACAAAAACCTGTTTTCACTGTCTGATGCAAAGTCAGTTTTAGTTCTATATTTTCCCATAAAAGTTATTGGGGCATTGTTGGACTGGTAGTTCATAGAATGTCAAAAATAGGAAGAATTTGATATTTGAAGCCGGGAACCTATATATCAAACTTTGTCTTTGAAAAAATGATTTCAGTTAAACTTGATTGAGTAAAGAACCTAAAGTCTCTTATTACATAGAAATTATTTAGCAAATTTATTCTTTCAGTTTCTATGATTTCTCTATTTTACATTTTTCATAGCGTGAACTTTTACAATATATTGGTATGCTAAAAATCTAGTTGATACATTAGGTTCATATCAGTTGAAATGACTGAGGAAGAAGTGGTTGAAAGAACAAGTTCCGGAGGTGAAGAAGATTCAAGCTGTAATCAAGTAATAAAGAAGGAAGAGCAGAAGGATAAAAGGAAAAAGCGGTTGCTAAAGGAAACTGAAAAGNGGGGAACAGATAGGTATGTTAAATGGAGTTTTTTTCCCCCTAACAGTTTCCATCTTCTTACTGGCATATATTTTGTATTTTGTACGTCTCATTTGGTAATGTCTTTTGGGAATGTAGTATTCATTCACACCTGAATGCACACCAATCGAAATCAGTTTTGAAGTAATCTATGACACATTATACTTGTACAATTATAGTTAGGGGTGTGAAGCATAAGGATATTTCCCATGGAAAAAGCACAAGTCATATCTTGCGGATTGGAACGTTACTTCAATGCTCCTTAAGCATTGTGATTTCATTTAGGAGACTAATTTCAATATAATGTCTTAAACAATATGCCCTTGTTTGGTTTAGCTAAATATTAGATTTTTAGTATATTTTGATAGAAGTTGATGAAAAGTGAAAAGTTGATAAAAGTAACGGGTCTCATAAAATGTATGGTTGAAAATGAGTTTTAAGGAAGAATGAGTTTAAGAAATGGAGGCCAAACAGGGGCTACATGGTCCTGATTGATTTTAGAAAATTTAATCCAAGATTTCATATTGTAGCAAGAATATTACATAATGTAGTTTTCACTTTCATATTTGGTTTCAGGTGGTAAGAAACGGTCAAGATTCCATTATGATATTTGGAATATCAAGTACTTGAGTAAATTCAAGTGGGATGATCTTACCGAAGAAATAGGTACTTAACTCTTTTTAAGTGTTTGATGTTGTATTTTATGGTAAGCATTCACTTTATGAATTGGGCTGAAACTCTCAAATGTTTGCAGCATACAAAAGTGCCATTCGGGAGCAGAAACTAGCTTTGGAAATTTCTGCTGCAAAGAGAGAGCAAGATTTTTCTCTCTCAAAAGTTGATCAGTCAGTAGCCTTAAGTAATATAGAAGAACGACTAAAGAAGGTGAAATCACTAATTGCTGCATTAAATGATTTCGGTCATTATAATCATACTTTTCACGTTCTTTTGATGAATTGACTATTATCTGTCCATCATCTAAATGCATAGTTGAAAGAAGACAACTCGTGATTGTCATTATATCCACTGAATGGAATCTCTTCTTGGTCGAAATTTTAAGCTAATTGATTCATATTACTGACCTACTATGTTTGTTTCCACTGCAGAGGCAAAAGGGCGAACAAATAAAGAAGCTGACGCGGCAATTTTCCCAGAAAAAACCGGTTGTAGAGGAAACTGAAAAGAAGTCCCAACTATCTAGGGATATCCTAGCTGGAGTAAGTATTGTTCCCTCTGGCATGCCTGTGATCATGATGTTTATCCCATGTTTGTCAAAAATTATAATTAATTACAATTTGGACAAACTCAATTATCTACATATTTTATAAGACTTACAACTTTTAACTACTGTTCGACCACACATTCCTTGGGACCCACTAATGCAATCTGTGCTATATTTTCATCTTAGGTTTTTGGCAGTTCTTCATGATCAATTTTGCATTTTCGGTTCGGTTTCTTGAGGTTCTGGAATTGGTGTAAAAATCCATATTTCTGGTTTTGCAAGGGGCAGTATTTTCTGGTTTATACTTGTAATTTAGACTCGCAGAAATATTTACGCAGTTTTCGATTCATAAAATTTGCTAATTTGCTCTTGTACAAGAAGTGTATAATTTTTGCCCTGCTCGACCTTGAGGCAGGCCAATGCCAACCTTGATGACAGATGACTGCAATCTCCTCACCCCAACAAATTTAAGGTATATAAGAAGATAGTCTCCTAACAAAATAAATGACTAAAGAGAAAATATGTTAATTTTATGAATCAGACTTGCTGTAATTATCGCAAATATAACAGTTGATACTAGCAAGGATGAAAATGTGAAGGATAGTATCAAAGAAGTAAGAAGTTAAAATTTTTTTATTATTTTATCTAATTTTGTACCTGCATGCTTTTAAGCATAGTTTGTGAATAACATTACTCTTATTTCTTAATAATCATGTTACCACTGTTTGTAGCTATTCAAAATAGAAAAAGTAAAGACTGATATACTGGACAGCTAGTGTTTCCTTGTTTGTTGATTAAAAATTTAAAATCAAATGAAAATACACAAATATTTAGTCAGATTTGCTAAGAGGTCAAGATTGTCTCTTTCTAATTTTTTGATTAATTCTTGATCTCGAAGTACACATTTTACTAGCAGTCAGGATTACTTGCTTTAGAGAAATTATAAGAAAAGTAAAAATATTAATGTCCACTGGTTTCTTTGCTTGATGGAAATTATAATTTAGATTTTCATAAAAATTTACAATTAATTTTAATAACATATTTAATGGGACAAATAACTTTTTAATTATACATTTTACTAATTTTTATTTTTATTAAAATTAACTAAAAATTTGATTTTAATCTTCATCGAAACAGGTGTTTAATGTCAATCATGCTTTGGTCTTTGTGATTGAGTAGAAATAAAATGGCACTTGTGAGAGAAGCTTTTCACTCTTCAAGTTTTCTTTCTAACATTGAAAAAATATTGTTACTTGTAAAACATCATTAATGTGAATATCTATGTTTCTTGTTAAGCAAAAAGAATAGAGCAATGCTACATGTACTATTTGGTTTATAGAAATTATAAGTGATGGGATTTCATACTATTTTTGACAAAAAACACAGTTAATCCAACCGTTGAAATGCTGCCATGTCATCATTTATAAAGTTGTCTATATAATTGATCTTTGCAAACAACTTTGTTGAAAAGAATATAGGGACACACAACAAAACTTTGCAAGAAAAGGAGCAAAAATAAAAATAAAAAAGAGAAATAGCATGAAAATTGATGATTTTTCTTTCCAAAGTTTATTCGCAATATCTGATTCCATGCTTGGAATCGCATGCCAAACAAAGTGCATATCTTATGCCAGTGGCAGTTAATTTCCAAGACTTTCTGATTTCGATCTGTCTATTCATGAAGCATTAATAAAACTAGGATTAGGATTTAAGATCAATTCATTCAAGAAACCCACAAGAAAAATGGCATTTTAGAAGCTATTTAAGAAAAAACTTGGACAATGAACGTGAAATTCACTGCAAATTTAGTTCCTCTACAGATTTTTGATATTCTGTTATGCTCCTGTCCACTAGATACATAATTTCAACTCGAGAGTTTCATGAAGACTAGTTATTCAATAACACAGATAGTCATTATAAACTAAACATTGCCAGAGTGATTTGAGTATGCAAACCTGTCTCTAAAATCAGATTGAAAGTAGCTAGGAGCAGGGGCGGACCCAGACCTTTAGTATTGTAGGGTCAAATTTTTAAATATAATTTTTTAATAAATAATAGAATATCAATGAAAATAAGTTTATATATATTTTGACACTTTGAAAACGTCGTATAATTATATCATTATTAATATTATTAAATAAATTTTGCTACTTGTATAGTTTTGTTTATCATTTCATTAGCAAATGTGGAGCTAACATTGAGTAAATTAAATGAATTGAAATAAAATTCAAGTTTAGTTCAGGAAGTAAATGAAATTTAAATTTAAAGCAAATATAATTCAAAAGTAATTCAAATTGTATTTAATCCTAACGACCCTAAAAAATTTACGTCATATTTCATGTAAGACTTCCGAATGAAACGATATAAATTATATTAAAAAATTTATCGTGCAAAAATAATAATTAATTGAATTTTCTAAAAGAAAAATGAGTTAGACATTTTTTTTAGGCGTATGTTTGATACATAGTTAACTATTTTTTATATTCGTTTGGACCATTCGATATGAAAACGATGTAGTTTTCAAAATAAACTTTTACATGGCATAGACGATTTGTGGATTCAGATAGCACATGATCGCAAATGAATTTTTAAAGTTAGAATATTATCGAAATTCTCAAAATACTAGTTTCAAAAGTCATACTTTAAGATGTCATAACTTTTACTATAATTGACCACTTCGCATGCCATTAATGAGTGAAAAACTAGGACATGAGCACTTTGAAATAGTATTAAAAATGTAATATTTTGATTTCATTTGGCA